TCATCAGTACCATCGATACTTCGAACTTGATGTCTTTGTTTTCAGAAAAGATTTCATATAAATTATTGATACCATTGCAGCACAGAAAAGAACTGAATATTAAGAAATGAATATTAAGAATATAAAGATTATATATGAAATTAGGGTTTTGATCATTTGCTCAGTAGTTTCCATCCTTTCCACAATAATGTTTTAATTTAACCGACGATCTCAGGTCTGGTGAAAGTTAAAAAAATTTTGCTCGATTAATATGCCCCAGCACAATTAGTGCATTAGAAAATGAATCATTTTTAACCTTGGTTTAGTTGTGGAGAACATCATAAGGACTTAGGATAAGGAAAAACGTTTGCACGCTGCCATAAGTTTGTTTCATGACACACATTTGGTCATATCTAAGTACAGCGCATTATAAGATAAAGTAAAAAACACAATAGTTATTACTCAAGACATAATATTTATCTAAAAACAAATAGTTCAATATTGACAAGTTTATTGATATACACATAGGAGTTTCCTAGTTCGATGTCATAAGCAGAGCAGACGCGTATAGCTTGCCATGCCAGCGCGTCGGTACCGAACCAATTGAGCTTATAATAATTATGCATGATCACGCTCCAGACATGAAAACAACACACGTCCGATTTATTACACGAACACAGCATCCAAGGCAAATTATTCGTAAATTTCTAGACGGAATAATTGATTTGCCAACAAAACTGACATTTTCTATCTATCAAACAGAAATATTTTTGGAACGAATTCACGGGATTTGTTGATCGTTTAACATGCTGTGTGTGAATTGTTATGATTGTACATTTGTCTAAATAGTATTCAATAGAGAAACCTGGATACGAGTAGCAGTAACAAACAAACGAAGAGTAATAAAACACGCGTTAATAAATAATATAAAGTACTAATATCATGAGCAAACACAGATGTTGATGTTTTCAAAAAGAACGAATCCACAACCAAAGAGGAAAGTCAAAAATGAAATCTGTATTACGTCATTTCCTATTTGATAATGACATCCATAAAATAAAGAACATTTTGACAGTCACTCGTGTATATGAGTAAAAGGCAAATATTAGAACAAAAAGCAAGGGGTTGATGGTCCAGAATTTACGACGAATTTATAATTATGAGTCATCGGGCAGAAGCAATGTGGAGAACGAACGCCGTGGCGAACGTCTTCCCACGAAGATTGAGAGTTCACCTTCCTCATGACTGGATTTTACTTAGTAGAACAAGATAAGCATTAATAATAAATTTAGGTTCGTTCAACCCATAAAGTGATGACCTCAGGAAGCAACAATTTGTCAGGATATCCAAGATTGCTTTGGAATAAGAATTTCAATGACCAAAATGATACGCAAAATTCGAGCAATGCAATAAACTTGCTTCACAAGAAGCAAACTAACAGAGCGTTGTTCGTACACGTGTTGAATAAATAATGCTGTGTTAATAATCTGATATTGTTTCATGTTCCGCTGATATTTCATGCTTCATCAGCAACAAATAAAGATGCACAGCATGAATACAGAACACGAGTATAGCAGCTACAGTAAGTAATAAATGCAGGTACTCATTACAGCCTCGCCTTTAACTCACGACACACCAATCCTGGTCAAAAGTATCAACAAAGACACGAAAGCAGATTTAAAAGCAAATTGCAATTTTCTCTCATTCCACGGCGATATGGAATGCATCCTATTCTGTTTTTCTATAGAATTCTACAGTATTTCTTCAGTGAATCTTGTATCAGAGCCGAACAAACAATTTTAAAATACTTCACTTTCGAGTAGAAGATAACCTACCGCACACGCTTCCACTATATGCAATACTTATACTTAAGTACGACCTGACATTAGTTGAAACTTCAGGGTATACTCAAATCATCAGAAAATCAGACTTTTTAGACAATGAGAAAATGTGTGGTTGTTTTCTTTGCTATTTTTCCACGTAATAGGGAGAATATTTTTTCCCACATTACGGAGAATATTCAGTTCAGATTGCTGCATGAAATTAAGCGTGGCTGTAAGAAACACTTCCTACGGAAGCCGACTACTCTATGGACGGTTTGGCGTAACGTAAGACAAATAAAATGACGATGGGAGACGAATTGCCATCATTGTTCCACCATTCACGTCATCATCACACTAGTTGAACTTGCAAAGTACGCTTTTATAGCTTGAGAAAACTAAGCCCTAAAAAGAAAAAGATGATTTCAACAATAATGATGTAAACACCACAACTTCTGTAAGATGTCAAAAAATTTGAAACACTATATATTTATTTCAGACCGAGTCTCAAAGATTATTTACGAACAGTGTTTAGATTTAGGATTTAGCAGGCCCTAGCTAGCATAAACACGAGCAGAACTGCTACAGAACTTACGACGGAGCAGATATTCTACTTAACAAGAATTCAGGAACGCGTTAGATTTCAGGTTAGACTTTTGTGACGTCCTCGTTTCGATGGAACAATTTAGGCGAGAGGACAGCTGCAGAGTAACATAAACAACAACAATACAACTATAACTCTACTTACAGTATCACGTTACATCAGTTCCGATACTGCTATCGGTATCTGAAAAGCTGCACACCAAAACCAAACATTTCCAATCGCTCATCTTGGTCGCGTGCTAGTTCACTACGTGAGAGACTCAATAGAGACATTCTTAATCATCCGTAGTTTTAACACTGAAATACCTAGATTCTCATTCGTATTTAGAATTCGTTGGAGAACACAAGCAAGCCTCTCGAGAGCATGGACGAATAATGGCTGGCCTCTCGCAGGCAGATAGTAGACCGCTCATGATTCATCCATGCTTTTGATAGGGAATGAGAGCGCAAATACGTTTTCCAGGGAACATTAGCGTGTCGGTTTCCATATCACTAAACATACAAGGGTATTTATGAAAATAATTTTATCACTTCTTTACATTAGACAATGGTAATTTATTCAACTATTTATACAGCAAGGTAGACACCAGAACATTTATCAGATTTGTTCGTGCTTCAACACACATTCCATTCCTTCGCAAACTTGATGCTATCAGATAAGGAGAGGCATTGAAAACAATTTGAGCGTCGTGCCTTATAATAGATTATAATATTTCTAGTAAACTTGGAGCGCTGGAATTGAGATCCTAGCGCAGCCGGAACACTTTACCATCACTGAAGGTTCGCAGCAGCATATTCTTTAGAGAAGGAAATAAGGATGAAAATATTGGTGTACCAATTTCAGAGTATGCAATCTAATCTTTTACAATGGACAAAGATGAGCGCAGCAAAATGGACATCGAGATAAAAGATACAGGGGCGAATTTCAGACGTGAGCACATTCATCATAAGACAAAATTTTACTTGGGAACAAACTGCAAGCTTAGGAGATACTGTCAGCGTTCAAGTATGGAAACACATGAGTAACAAACTGCAATGCATTATAGTACGTTCAATGAAACGGTTTGGCGGGAGAAATTAACAGCAATATTGTGTTATATTGCTTTGGATAATACAACAGCATCAAATTGATCAACGTTGACATAAACAATACTTTACGGTATAATGACAGAGAAAAATTGTACAGGAATTTATTGAAAGTGCCGTGAATTTTGAGAGGGGAAGTGAAGTTTTTTCAATAGTATCAAAAATATCAACCAAAATTTTTTGTAGCATTGAGAATAGTAGAATAAAAGAAATACACAAATGAACAAAAGCAACTATGAAATGACAACTACAAATAATGATTGTGTAAATGATATCGAATTTACCTGAGCAAATAAATCTTAAAACTAAAAATTTTTCCAAATTTGAAACGCGAAAGTTTACGCATTTTTCCCCGATTAAAATTAGCATAGTGCCTATTTGGCTAGCAAAGCTTTTCATAAATAGCTTTGCCAAAGAATTTCAAGCGACAAAGGCAAAATTTACAGAAAAACCGATGAGTTCAGCACAGAAGTATTAGTGATTCGTCACGAGTTTCGTAACGAATAGACGAATGGAATCAAGTTCAGGACAATCACGAAATAAGAAGCGTGATGGGTGGTATTATCACAAGGCACAACTGAGTTCGTTGCTGGGACATTTATTGTGCATACATACACGGTACACCGTGCCTCAACGTGGGGCATAACGATAAATAAGTCTTCGTACCATACAGAAATCATTAGTCTCTCATTTTCCAGTTGTTGATTTCGGGTATATTAAATTCGCTTATCGATTTAAAATTCCCAAAGCAAAATGGAATTCAAACAATTCCTCGATGGAAAATGGTAGATTTTGCACACATTGTCTTCGTATTGCAAGACTTAACATAGACTTGTGTTCAATCCTATCAAGAAATGAACTCAGTTGGATCCCAAAGACAAGTTACTCACATAGAGGATCCAAATAACCTGTGACTGCATTTGATAACCGCAGAGCAAACAACATCTAAGGTAAGAAGCTCCAAAAATATACTCAACTAAAGTACAATATTAATTATGCAATTATTCATAACCTAAACTAAGGAACACTTTGTAGCGATGCATCAATATATACAAGCCTATTTACGTTGCGTGAGATCAACGGTAAAATTCAATCAATTATTCAATTATCAAGGAGAGAAAATTCAAGTAAAAACCTTAAAATCAACACCGAAAAATTCACCTGGGTAAAGAAAAAAGTCGACCTATCACATAATTAACGATGGCGTCCTAACAGTTGCTGATCGAGGTTCTTGTCCAACAGAACCATCAAGTATCGACTAGGAATTTAACATAAATCCAGAACAACCGTTTAGGAGCTCTATAGCATTAGTTTTACGCAAGTCAACTCTATTACTATAAGAATTAAACAGGCACCGTGGAAAATTGAAAAATTTGGAAATGAGTCACAACCAGGTACGCGAAAGAAACAATTGGTTCATTGTTTCCTTTTTAGCGCATTTTCTCTTTTTTTTTTGGAAAAAAACGCTATTGTGCTCGTCATGTCCGTCCGTCAGTGACTTCACGGACGGACGAGAAAATGCGATCTCTGTCACTCACTGCAGTGAGTACTGATCTAATTTTTCTCAAGTATTGCACTCCCGATTTGATCTAATCTAGTATCCAAATATTTTATATTCGAGGCAGAGGCAGAAAAAGAGCACCAAAAAGTACAGTGAACACGGCAACCATACGTAATTTTACGAGACATTGGAAATTTAGTTCATTGAATTAACATCAAAAAATAACATCGATATCAGAGATGCATTTAACCGACGTCTACAGTCGTTAAGACTAATTTTAAACATACTAGTTTAGCTGAGGTTGTTTTGTCCAAGGAAACATTCAATGAGAGTTATGACAATATCTAGAATAACAGAAATTTTGATTGCGAAGTGCAAGTTTATAGATCTCAATGCAGGTCATTTAAATGTCTTAGACAGCGTACGACATCATATAAAAATAATACATTATCAATTCAGAAATTTATAATAGATAAAACGCAAAGTTCATGGGTGATCATCAGGCACAAGTTGGCTGGGAGTTTAGTAGGTAAGCCTACCTGTTAATATTGCTTACACACTCGAACAATAGTACAAAATATAGATTTTTTTCATGTATATTTACGTGGTTATATTGCTTCTACCAAGAGAAACCTACCTTTTTAGACAAATTCATCACGATCAGCAATATTATGCGGAGGTGCGAACGAAAAACATTCGACACGCATTCGGCCCAGAAATAGACCACAGAAGTTAAGCTATTAATATCAAGTCTAGCAAATAGTTTTCGATGAGAAGTAGGTTTACATCGACATTCATATCATACCGTAGTCCTACATACAAAAATACATCATTTTCACTATAAAACTCTACGGTTAAAAAAGAAGAACTGTGAAATCTCTCCGAATAAAGCGGTGCAATCACGCATATTTTTCCATTGACATGCCATGAAGCTCTAGGTTCAGAGAAGTTCTAAGTTTATATTTTAAATAGCAGATGAAGACATAAAAATTTTCAGATAGATAGAAATAGCCTTGAAATAACTAGGTTAAATAATATTGCAATAAAGTAGAAATTTGAGGCATTACCATTAACTAATAACAGCTTGCGCATGTTATTCTTTAGAACAAGTACCAAATCAGTGAAAAAAATACAAATGGTATAGTCAATTAATAATTCGTAGTTCATCAGCTAAAAAAATTATTATGTCACTCAACAATATTGCAGTGACTAAAAAGGAAAGTAAGTGTTTCAACTTAAGGGTAGAGATGTCAAAAATACATTAATTCAAAAAGTGGAAGTAGTAGTCAAAAGATACAACAAGTAGATTATGCAACATTAGAATTTGATTAATTATTATGTACCGTAAGTAATTATTTTCGGGAGGTATTTGCTAAGGCCCATGAAACATATCACTGAACAGAGCGGCAGGGCATAGCAGCTCTCACGTGCCCTCCGATCCCTAGACATCCTCCAAGCCTCAAAAATTAGCACGATAAAAAAGCGTAAAATTTCGAGAGTGACTGTACTACTTTTGTTAAGAATAACTGAACGGGTATGGGAATTCGGATACATCTCACTAGGATGCAGCAGCATAACAAAAAATAACAGAGGAGTTGCAGAATCAACGAGGAACCAAGAACCTACGGCGCTAATTTTTCATCAACAAATCTTTTAAAAATGATATGATGCCAAATGATTGGAATTGCATTACACGAGGCATATCAGGGAGATGAGTCATGGGAAGAATTTCCGAACAAAGTAACATTAATTTCAACGAACGCATTTGTGCCATCAGAAGAGGGTTTGGTGCAGTGGATGCGCAGAGGGCTGCTATGTCTTGCCACGAGCATTCACTATTCATACACCGAGCGCAGGTTACGGTCTAAAATATATACAAATTCTACACAAATAGACATGACAGTTAAATATAGACCTAAAATCTTCAAGCAGAATTGCCTATAATTTTTCAATGAATTTTCAATTTGTAGAGCGTAGGTATTCAATCCTCATGTACGTTTCACCCGATGACATCTAGGGAGATGACCTCGAGCGAGCATTTTGATTTGAACATTAATGACACGACATACTAAAATATGAATTAAAACATTAACAATCTCGCTGTTTATACATACTTCTCAGATAGCATTGGAAAGAAACTATTGGCATTATGGTACATAGTCATAAGAATATTATATACATCAGAGCCGCGATGTCACATCCGTGACTTCAGCTCATGAGCATTCCGTTTCTTCATTTTTGACGTCCCAAAGTTCGCCTAAGAACTCCGGGAAATAGACTTCGTTCCTGACGGTGTGGCACTGTTCGTTGTTCTTGAAGCCGAGCGTGCGTAGCTCGGTGAGTATGGCTAAAAGCTTAGCGAACTTAGGACCAGACGGCGTCTGGTATTTCCAGTCTGTGTAGTCACGGAGCGCACGTACGAAGATTTCCTGCAAGCCCTCGATTTTCTCTCGCTCTTTTACATTAGGCCGATCTGAAATGGATTCTTATTTCAAAATTTATTCGAAAAACAAATAGTTATTTAGTGTTTCTCCATTACAGTATCTACATCATTTGGATGAAATACTATACAGCAATAAATGCGGTTAAGGAAGATTACGAAGGTAATGATCTATTCAAGAGATTAGTTTGCATTTTCGATAGTCAGTAAGAAAAAAAATTGAGATGTGGAGATTAATGTCTGCAGCATTTGAGAACGCAGAGGAAACTTTACCATGGTCCATTATACCGTAGTTTTAGCATGGCCACAGTTACAATGTATAAACGCTGGGTTAAAATTATTTTTTTATTATACCAAGCAAATTTGAGCAGCTCTATATTTTAAAACAAAAGCAAAGTCTAAATGCCGCTTATAGTTCATATCCCCTCGAAATTGAAAAAAGATAGGTTTGTCTGCTCATGTTTACCTCATTCTTATTTGTTTTTATTTGACAATTTATATTATTATATTTCAATGTGAATTATAGTTTGCTAATTGTTTGTACCTAGGTTTTAGGTTTTTGAACTGACGAAGAAGCTGGACTCCGAAACGTTTTTTCGCATAAGCAATGGTGAATTTTCTGGCAGTTTTCTTTGCTTTCAAATTCTTGATAAGCACCTCTAATACAAGAAGTCTAAAGTTCATTTTTTAATCATCATTTTGAAGGCTACGATTTTCAAAAATTTCACAATTAAAAATTTGACATTGAAAGTATAATAAATTGTTCTCAGTAAGGTACACCAAATTAACATTCACGGCTTACCTGAGAATAAAACAATAGCAGTAAGGAGAGCATACTCTGCGTTGTCAACCTTCATGTTCGACATGTTGCGGCAAAAGCTGAAAAGAACTTCGGTGATCTCGGGTAGCATGCCGGCTTTTTTGTACGCTTCTTTCTTGTAGGGATAATTGTTGCTGAACACAATTGAGTCTGTGGCGACATCGTAGCGTCGAGCGGCTCGTAGCATGATTATTTCTTGCGTACAAGCCTGGGGGGAACAGAAATGAGTAAAAAATAGCCTCGAAATGTCACAGGCTCTCACGTCACATTGTCATGCAATGTGAGAATAAAATAAATTTCTAAACTAATGCTCATGCGACTCTATGACGTTTATAAATGATAATCTCGACGCATATTATTGTGCGTTTTTGCGTCGCTGCTATGTAACAGAGAAGCAACTATTCCACAGCATCTACAAATTCAACAAAATGTATACTGAGCAGAATTTCAAAGATCGGCAAACCACTTACATTTGAGAGTTTCTTGAATGTTCTGTGAATGATTGATCAAAATGAACTTCCTTCTTTTTTTACAGAATTGGAAACAATTTATCATGGTCTGTTATATCTTTTTTAAAATTTGCTTGTTGGGTGTGTTTTTAAAGCACTGGAATTACATACGAGTTATCGTAGGAGTTTTGCCACAACAATAACTGCGGTTTGGAAATGGTCTCTCCTCAATTAACGTTAATTTAACTTGAAATTATTTATGTTTCGGGATAACAGGTTACACAAATATTAGGAGTTGCCAATCCTGAGAGTCGATGGGTAAAGCAGCTGAGAGCATATGCGAGTTTATGTACTCTTATAAAACTTTTATCATCTCAAATTTATTTCTTGCGTAATATTCAGTAGTAATTTCTCTTTAGCATCCACTAGCTTCATTATTATCGAAGGGAACCGGAACTTAAAAAATTATCGGGATTATAGACCCCGGGCAACGTCGGGCCAACCTACTAATCAAATAAGAAGGGCATTAATGTTTTGAGTGAAAACACACCTTGAGCAAAGAGATTTGGTCGTTCTGCATGAGCGTATCAAAGCCTGGTACCCTCCTGGCGAACTCGACGATGAGCTTGACAGTAACGATGGTCATCTCAGTGATGTGGCTGAAGCGCATACTCTTGTTCTCCATCTCGTCGTATGGCACTTGTGGCATTTTCTCGCACACGGCGTGCTGTGGACCCCGAGAAATATGAGCATGCAACATTATTAAATACCTATATTGGATACAATTTTATTAATTTAATGCGCGGTAGTGTGTTCAAGTTATTGACGAAAGGTACTGGTATCGATATCAATGAGGTAGGTACAGGTATCAATGACGTAAGGCTATGCAGATGAATTAAAGTTAAAATCTAATTTTAGGCTGGATACGATAAGACAGGATATCACATAGACGATCTGTAAAATAAATTAAATTATAGTCGAAGAAAATGACAGACTCCGCAGCTGCGAATATGTTGAGGCGTTCACTTGAATTTGATGCTTTCTGGTGCTCATATTTAAAATCCCAAATTTAATGCTGGTATAAATTTGATGAGGATGGAAAATATAAAACATCGGTGGTTGCGATGTTTTTTTTTTTGTGGTTTAGAGAGCAAATGCTTAGAGAGCAAAAGATTACAATATCAAAATTTCAGAGAGCAAAATTACAATTAGGCTTAGAGTTGAACTGACCATGTTGCAGTTCTCCGGCGTTGGGACTTCGAAGGCCTCTTGGTAGTACAAGAGCCTGTTGATCATCTCGGCTTGATCGCTGCTGAGTATGTACTTGTCCATCGGTCCAGACACGCCGGAATTGCTCGAGCAGGAGTTAACTTGAGTTTGGTTCTGAAATAATCGCACAGTATGAACATGTTTGTTAGCTGAAACAAAGCAAGGAGTAATGTCAATCAATCACAGTTGATATCTAAACAATAAAAAAAGCTTGAGGCAAATATGTAAAACAGTTGATTTGGAGCGCTTTAATAGCTGAATTAAACAGATTTTTTAGCTAAAATGCATAATGTAAAACATGATCACATCCTGCGTGAACTATGACCGCCATGACAGACGTGAACAAAGACAAATCGATTAAGAACACATAAAATTTCCTTTCAGAAGGCGTTTGAAAGAGAAGTAAAGTTAGAGTAATTTATAAACGGCAATTCATTTAAGAAATACAATGAGCAATAAAGCATGATGCATAATATTATTACGCAATTTGGTCGTGTAGCACTAAATTGGAACACAAAAATTGGGGCAATCGGGATGTGCAACAGAGGATCCCAAATCAAATATAAAGCAACTTGCTCCCTGCATAATTCATCAGACAAAAACCATTTGCTTGTATCTGCAATCTCCAAGTATGACTGAAGGTAAAGAACTGAAGCAAATACTACAAAGAATAATGTAATTTCATTATTATTTTATATTACACCAAAACCATTTACCCTCTGAAATTTTCGTTTAAAAATGATCAATGAGGCATGTGAGCATAAAAATTATGTCTAAATATCTACTAAAATATTGGCACTAAGATCTTAGTAATTGCTGCGGAGAAATAGGCAATTCTTATATTGTTTATTTAACGCAGTTGAATTCGAGAAATAACTGGAAAATCGGCAGTTTGTTTTGCGATGCTTTTGGATTTTAACAAAGCGGGCGAAATAACTCGATATCAAAAAAATATTCAGAACAGTATTGAAGGACATTTGAGAAAAGATTACATGCGTGAAAGTCAAACATACTACGCGTCAGGAAAACAATACTTTACGCTGATTTGGTATGCAATTGACTTTCATTGTTTGGTAAAACAAAGAATGGCTCTACCTTGTAAAGGCCAAACATATTGAACCAATGAACTGCAAATTGATGCTCTGTTGAATCACTTTATACGGAATAAGCATGTTGAATCGGAATAAGTTGTATAATAAAAGTCAATCGGAATTTCCGATTGACTTTTAAATTAGTGAAGACGTAATCAACGAACAAGTAGATATGAACGATTTAGATTTTAAATGAGGAAAATTGAGCACGAAAAGTCTGTCTCAGAAAAACAATACACTATATTTTCGCATTTATTAAATAAAAAGATCCAAATTTTAATTTGCAAGGGTCTAAAATGTCTTACAAGAGACTGGAAATGAATCTCTGAAATAAAGAGTAAGAAGCTAAGAACTTCACGCTACCGTAAATATAATTAGGTTCGATGTTTTGAAAAGGGCAGGATTTATGATAGACCAGCTGTGATTTATCATTTTGTAGTTCTATGACAATAAACGTTGTGAATTTGACGCTGTAAAAAAATAATGGAGCGTAATTTCATAACCATTTTTGCGGTTTAAGTCAAAGCTAAGCAGCGATGAGAGCTATGCAGCATAACAAGAGCTTCATTGTAACTTACATAACGTAATTCACGAGTAAATAAGATCATCAGAGGACGGTTTCATTTGATAAACACTTCGTTAAAATTAGCACGAGGCAAAACTGAAGCTGATAAAGATAGAAGGAAAAAATAACAGTTGTTGATGGATGGAAAGGCAGCCGCCGAAGGCAGCAATATCTGTATTACACAAATAATTTTAGTCAATAAGTTTGAATGACTCAAGAATAAAATATTCTTCAGCAACCAGTAAAACCTGACAATGAAAAAGCTGGCTGGCTTAACTGAAGTGGATAGTAGAGCTGGCGCTCCGTTTTCGACACTGAGAATTTAAACACCGAAACTGAGTTTAATACAAAAATCTTGCTGTCATAGGCGATCAAAATTGAGGATACACTGTTTGAACAATGTTCGTACCTAAACGACAATAATAATGCAAGCATGAATCAAGGAACGACGTGACGACAGCACCCAAAGTACCGGTATACAATGTTCTTAACTAGACTGAATTGATTCAACATTTAAGTATCAAAGTACAAGAATTCATGGTTAATACGGGTCGAATTACACGATATGTGTAGTTGGAAGTATAAAAGGGAACCTAAGATTCGTTCACATTTATAAAAAAAGTTTTCCGCAATCCGGGCATGAACAAAAGTACTTCCGGGGTATTTTGTACAGTGCAATACGAATCCATCTTTAACGTATATAATTCATATTTCAGTTATGTTTTTATGCACACCCTCACATGCGATGATCATTATTGCAAGTATAAGTAAACTATGTCGCTAATGCTTATGTAAGAGTTTGTAGACGGGTCTTCAAGTCATAATCACAACATAACGCTTAATTAAACGCAACAAACACATACGTAAAATTTCATTCGGGAAATATTGGGAAAACAAATGCGTCAGTATATACAGACAAGAATGAAATGATAGCGGAGTGCTTCAAAAATTATTCCACAGCTGACCACACCAACACGTGCGAAGCATTAGCGGAAGGATTCAAATGCCAGTCTAAATCTGTTATCGTTGACGATTTATCCAGTCAAGAAAACAATACTAACAACGGCATCGCTAAAATCGACTCATTCATTGCAGATGAAAGTTATTTCATCTGCATGTTTTGAAAACCAGATAATTTCACTCATTTTTAAAGATGGAATGCAATCGATTACATGACCATGAAGATAATTTAACCACCCAGTGATCCTCAACCCTTTGGCGCACACTAATGATTTCAAAAGTAACTTTTTATTAACTCTGAGAAAATCCAAGACATGATTAAAACTGCGAAACGAAGGCAGCAGCATGATTTTATTTTTCGCGTGAACTTCAAACTAATTTTTTCGCAATCGGCTTGCATAATCGTATCAATTTTAAGAGAATTTCGAGAATTGATTTGGGCGCGAAAGGGTTAAAAGTGTGAGCAGCGGTAGAACCTATTCAAGGAGTTTGCTCACCGTGACAGTTGAGTTGAATAGTTGTAGGGGACTTTGTCCATCATCGCCAATAGGAGTCTTTAGAGTGTTAACGATCTGTGGTGAGAAACAGTAAGGTCAGCAAAGTGCGCTAACCTGGTCTGTCCTAAACCAGAACAGCGAATCATTCAGCTAATCACCCATTAGGTCTTATAGCTGGAGGTAGTTTTATGATTTCCGGCAGGAAGTATAAAAAATACACCGAAGATTCTAAAGTTCATCCGAAAATTCCTATTGCATTACGAGCGCAAACATAATAATTTTAAAATAATATTAATTAATTCCTCTATTTTTGCGCGTTCATGTATTACGGTTTCGCTACTTCGCGGTTTTTCTACTTTGGATTTTGATCGCTGTTTCACGGCTAGTTTGAAATTACTACGAAATAGTGTACACGGCTAGTTTGAAATATTCCAATAGTGTACACGGCTTTATTTTCGATGTTTTCTTGAATAACTCAAAAATTAACGAATGTATGAGCCAACTGTAGGTAAAAGAGTTAGCTATAGACGAAGAATATCAGACTCCCAATTAATAATTTGTCCGGTGATGAACGGACACTTCACCTAACAGAGCGCTCGCGCATGCAGTTACATTTCAACGTGTGTGCTGTGTTTCGACGTTTCGTTGTGATTTTGATTCTGGTCATTAGCATTAGCTAGGGCTGATTTCATCCACAGCTGATGCCTGAGGAGGAGCATAGAAGACTAACCACTCGCGGGAGGTATTGGAAGACGTTCTCCCGTATGGGCAAGGGCTGTAGTATTCTAGACTACGTGAGAACAACATCATGGTCGAATTTCATGATGACTCATTATCATATTCTGGGAACTATAAAACGATTGCGATTAATAATCAATCTTTTGATTGATTATCAATCGAAATTAATTGAAAAACAATTGATAATGATTAATGTAGCTGCACTCACACAAGTGATCTTGACATTCACCAAGCACAAGGACAAGCTCATTAATTAATACGCAGCACTCTGTGACATAATATAGCCTCAAGAAAATCTACGAGCTTTCACTGAAAACGAACGAATCAACGTACGCGCCGTTTGAATTATTAGGAAATGCGATGATGAATCGAAAACTAATTTAAGCCGAGACATCCCAGCGACGTGGGTAAAATGGGAGGTGTATTAATAAATCTGAAAGTTACCAAAACTGAGTATCGAATTTAAGTCGAGTTTTATACCCCAAACAATGAATTAGTCAACTCTATTGACTCGTTCCTGCCTGGGACATGTATGAAAGTTCGAACTACGCGGGAAGAGCTCAAGGCGATGCCAGCACATAGACAGCCAAACCTCAACTATCGACCGAGAAAATTCCGCGCGGCGACATACATGCCGATTTGGCATTTGCCGCACGTCGCCAGCTGACGGGTGTAAACTTGGCACACCCGCACCGCCTCCTCTCAATGCTAGGCAACAAAGAGCTTTCCTCGATGGCTCCTAAAATCTGACCTCTAAAAGCTTTCTCATTTATCTTATCCAGACTAATATTCCAAGATAAGCAGGCTTCTAACGGACACTCAGAAAAATAGTCGCTGCATTAACGTTATGAGGATCAGGCTTACTTCTGCTCTCGCATACCAAATAATATTGCAGTTAGTCCGTGTTTATAATGGAATACCATTTGTTCAATGAGTCGAATACGTCAAAATCGGTGCTTCGAAATGGTTTAGGTTATAACTTTGAAATGAATCCTAATTCACAGCGGTCTGGTAGCCAAGATAACAGGCGCAAGGGAGTGTACGCGTGGCCAGGCTTGAGCCTCAGAGCCTCAGTAAAGAAAGATGTGCACTATCACTCACGAAGGTTTGGGACGACATTTTTTCTGGGTGCCGAATGTATCAAGATTAAATTTGTGACAGTGACAACTTTTGCCACGATCGACTTGGAGGCACGCAACAAACTAGGAAATTACATTAGACGACGAGAGACAACGTCATAAGGTTGATAAAATGAAACTCAAAAGATGAACATGAATGATGGTCTGAGAACCACGAACGATGTGATAGATTATAAGGCTGTAACTTACACCATCATCAACGCGAGGGATGTATAATGGATTAATAAGTAGTGGCATCTAGTCGAGAAAAGTTCTTTGGAAGCAACTAATGCTAGTATGAGTGACAGAAGTGATGGCAGAGACAGGAAGCTGCTAACTTTAGAAACAGCTAGACATCCTCATCGCATCACATAGTAAAACTAGTAAAGGAAGTTCTTAGTTTCAACTGCACGAGAACGATACACCTCAATAGTGTTCTCCAAAGAAAAAAATAAGAATGTGAATGAAGAAAACGTGAATAATACATTGATTATATGAATTTTGAACATGAAGGGCAAGAATGAATATTTAATAGTTACAAGTTCAATAGCAATTTACAAATTAAAACAATTTTTCGACCGGACAGTATAGCGTTCAGCGTTTAAGAGATCATTTTCGCATTCGAAACGCGTGGAAAGCAATAGATTATTATCTATTATAATTGAATCAGGATATTAATTTTCAGGCAGGATAATGCTTGAGATAAACGCAATATTTTTAGAATCAAAACCTTACTCTCGCCCACCTCAGAATCTATGCTATCGATTGCTTTGGAGACTTGAGTTAACTTCTATTTCAAGTCATGAGATTAGTAATAATACGACTGAAAATATATTGAAGAAAGTGAATGGATTAATAAACTATGTACAACCGTTGCCGAGTTCAAAACATAGAAGGTTTGTGAATTTAAAGTAGAGTGGTTCGCGGTATACGATTTAATCAGATCTAACGCCTTCAATAATGCTTCAAATACTCGATCTCTAGAGGTGTAACACCTGATCTTCTTTCATGTATTCAGTTGTATGTATATTTTCGTTAGCGTTGCATCATCTTATGATCGAACAACATTAAAGTTCCGCATACATGACATGTCTTATAAAGACATAATTTTTTTTAATTTCTTTTAAAATTCGTTTATATTCGAGGTACTGAATCTCATATTCATGCCAGACTATTTATTATTAAATAATTCGACTGGTGCAACGTTCTTCTCTACTAAGTACCATAAGATCAACAAAAGACACGCGCGCAACAAAATACCCCGCGCGCTTAACGTTATAGGCGCAGAACAACAAAGTTAGCAGCAGGATTAAATACTTACAGACATATGAGTTCTGTCTTGTAAGGACTGAGGACTTGGACTCATGGCAGCGTTAGGACTCATCATAGCTCCTGGACTCATGAGACTGGAACAGGAGTCCGCGCCTGGACTTGGAACGTCTTTGGACTTGTCAGACCCCCGCGCTTTCTTTTGATCCCTTTTGATTTTACATTGGACTTCTGGAATCACACCTGCAAATAAGCAAGATTATGAAAGAAGAATAATTAAAATTCAGGTTAATAATAATTATTTGTTAATTCTGTTAATATGCATTTACCATTTCGTTATTGTTAATCGAAGCACATGAGTAAGCAGGTATAATAACACATTTAACTCAATGAATTAAAGTGTAATATTTTGTATGAATTTCATTATGATAGTAAGATAATGACTTTTGCATGAAGGTTTAAAAAAAGTGGATTGCACGGAGTAAATCGTACTTGATTTTTTACTTACATTCTTCCCTCATGCCGACGCTGATACATTTCTTAAATCTACACTCCTGACACTTCCTCCTCATGTACATGTCCATCTCACACTGCTTGCCGTACTTGCAGGTGTAAACTGCCTTCTTCGTGATCGACCGTCGAAAGAAACCTGCATAACAGAAAATAAATAAATACAATATTACATTAGCGCTCAGCGGGAGGATTCCCAAACGAAAATTGAATGATTAAATTATTTAACAACCGACGGACAATCAGTTATTCATCAGAAGAAACGACGGTGTCGAATTAAATAACTAAATAAATTGTATAAACATAAACACAGGTAAGTGGAGTTAAAACATATTATTTAAACACTGAAAATCAAGTGAAATAAATATGATAAACGCAAAGAAGAGAGATTTTCAAGTCAAATTTTGTTTCACACCTCAAGCAAGTTCCTAAGACACAGTGTCTCAATTATAATTGTATGAATCCTGGCCATTTGGGCGCGTACTCAAAATATCAATCTTGCCAGAAATGATGGGATCTTATAAGAAATAATTAATATAAAATTCCAAAACGGGAAATAAATATTTTTTTCTTAAATTACAGTTTGAACGCGTCATTCTGTAATTCAAACTACTTTAATTTTAAAATTATAAATGAAAGCAAGGTAGACGACCCAACAAATGCATTCTTAGCCCTCGGGTTCACCGGCTGGATCGGATATTATTATATTGTACGAAATTTTGAGGCGCAATAAGGATCATTTATCCTTACTCTATCCCTGGACGCCATTTATCAAGCAGCACCGGGTTAATGTTCCTGTGATTCATAGTAGAGATTGTCCAAAATTGACGATTTACTTAATAAAATCGCATTTACGAACCTTATTTGCCTTCATGCCTAGAACACGCGTGCAAAAATGATCTGCCTCGCAACTCGTCTTCCTAGCTCGTTGATAGTTTTAATGCAAATTACATTTGAAAAATAGCACACAAAAGAAAAACATTACGACAACAATCCACCATTCAAAATTTGCAGCAAGCTTGATTTCCATGCCCATCTTCAACCAACAGCAACATCAGACACATTGGCCGCCCGTATCTTTGATACACTATATGAGCACGGTGCGGTAGGCCGGTTACAGAAGGCTGACTCAATTAGCAGATTCGTTTGAATGGCTCTCGGTCTGAGTGGCAGCGAGTGATCGACTTCGCGGTAGAACAAAGCAAACAAGAAAAATGAAGCCTAAAGACCGCTCAGCTTTACGAATGCTGAGTGGATATGACTTTCATTGCCTTGCCAGTGAATGGGTTCGTCTTTCTTTCAGCACCATGGGAATATAACAAAAGGACAGTATTTTTAATGCATCAATAGCGTTGGTGAACATGCCAGAATGTGACAAAAAAATTAGGATCTAGCAAGCTGAGATATTGCCACAAAGGTGAACGAGCGCTGGTCTTCTCGGTTTGTTATTGGATATGAAGGAATATACATAATTACCAACTAACATCTTTTCATACCCATTCCGTACAATTAATTAATTAGCTTTGGCTGATTTTTTATTTCACGAGCTAACACCACGAAACAACTTTTCAGGCATTGAAAATCTTTGCTCGATTGTAGTCGTGCTTCATTCACGCAATATCCCGTTACACTGCCTAATTAATTCGCTTCTAACAATGTGTAAATCGACAGAGTTATTGACTGAAGCGTCCTTGATACGCTTACCAGGCAAATTCGTAATTACATTTGCATAAAATCTCAATCACAATCTTTCGAAATACTTCTTACACTAAGACACGACTGTCAATAGATTCACACTGATTAATATTTCTTAAATACATTGCGAAACATTAGCTAATGAGCCTCATAGGAAGGAAGAGAAAAACCCTAAAGGGCAATAATGTCAAGCAATGGAAATAATGTCAAGCCCACCTTTACATCCCTCGCACGTGAGCGCGTTATAATGGTAGCCCGAGGCCCGGTCCCCACAGACGAGGCATAGGTCCTCTTGTTGCCGCGGCGCCGGGCCTTTCTTCTTCTTAGCGTCGCCGGCGATGGTGAGGCTCGAGCAGCTCGCCAGACTCGAGGAGTCGTATCCGCTGAGCATCGAGTTGGGAGGTGACACATCGTCACGACCTGTAACATAAAACACGGGATTAACCACGATTCATATTACGTTCATGGAGTTACTATAAGATACAGGATCAAAACCCAGACAATATTGAGGTACGTGGTCAACTAACGTATTAATTAATGTCAATTAAAATAAGCATTCACTTAGCTGAATACGACGACGTCTCATAATAGCAGGAGTCGAATGTTAACCTGGCTACCATCGAGTCCTCCATTGTAATTCGTGACGAATTATTCTAAGTTGCTCGATTAGATTACATTGAGTGAGTCAAGATGAAATCAATCCATGTGTGCAAACAATACTTATTGGCTTCGAAAAAATGAAGCCCGATTTTGTTGGAGTAGCCAGCGGAAATAAGGGAAGTTTAGCCAGGAAGTGGTGAGGCCGCGAGCCACATTTGAAAAGCCCGAAGTGCCACAAGATGGATTTACGTGCACACTTGAGCATTAATTCTCGCTGCTCGAGGATATAACCGCAGCCAAGCGTAGCTAGAGATTGCTGACTTGTTTCACGATAAATTAGGTTGGAAATGATTTATTGTTTTGCTCAAACAAGGATATCCATGAGCACATAATTTACCATGGGGCCCAATTTGTGGTAATCATGAGAGTTCGACGTGAGGAAATGTGAACATTGAAGACAGTAGAAAAAATTGTGCAAGTTCAAATCTAATTTGATTACAATAAAAAGTAAAAAAAAAACATTGAATTTTTCAAAGTATCAAACTTGTGCGTGTTGATTGAAGAATGAGATGCGAGACAAATTATAAGCCCGCCGGGAGCAAATGCAAGAGTTAGCGAGCAGGCATGAGAGTAGTGAAAGTAATGCACTTACGAATGTAACTCTACATTTATTGGCAAGGGTGCATATGGATAGAGCATGTTTATTTAAAAAAAAAGGGATTTTGAGAGCCTCAAGGATGCTTCTTGTCTACAAATTTCATTATATTACTCATATGAATTGGAATGAAAACGGGAAATAAGTTCGAGCTGCGGCTCAAGAGACCACAAGCTGCAACCTTGAAATGAAAGTAATATTTCAGCGCGACAAACCATACGAATGATTTACCACTGTATTGTTCAGACTCGGAATAAAAGGACATAAGATCTTCAGAATTCTTTAATTAGTAACAGCATTAAAACAGCCCAGACCATCAAAAGTCGATGTCAATGGCGGACAACGCGAAACACAAGTGCAATAATGACAACGTGGCACTTCAATTAAAAGAAGGTCCATGTTACGACAGATAATGACGTTTGTTAGAATTTTACGGCAACAATAGAGACTTGAAAACCTCCACCCACAAGGCAAATATTCCAGACCCAGACGCTGCGATATGGTAGGGGTCGTCTGACGGTGTTCAACTTTCCCTTCTAATTCATTGTCTTTAATTAATAATTAATAAAATCTACCATAAATATTCAAAGTTAACGTTAAATATTATTGAAAAATTAACAATATGAATAAGGAACAATAATAAGTTGAAGAAGAATATCACAAGTCTTCTAGGCATTCTCATACAACTAATACGCCTCTTAATTCTCTTCAATTCATGAAGTTTTTTGCATTAATGAAATCCCATTCACTCAGCCAGTAAAATTTGCGCTTAGAACTTAAACTTACTCTCTCGTAGCAACAGTAATTTACTGATCAAATGCACGAACAAAGAATTTTTATCAGAGAGAGATAAATTTGCAGACCATCGGAAATCCTCAGTTATGTCTATAGAAGCTATTTTTTAACGGAATTTCTGCTATGAACTGATAAAAGCTAATCGCTATGTTAGTCATTAAAATTTCCCTGTATAGATGTTGGCAGAAAAACTCCTCTCAACGGAAATTTTAATGAACAAACTCATAATTTTGTTTTCCGATGACTTCGAAAAGAAACAAACTTTACAAACCTTTGAAGTATTACAAATATAATGCAGGCTATTCCGATCTCAGGAATGTCGAAGAATGGAAGTTGGCACTAACTAAAGCGAAAAATGCTCTTGTTTTACTGCTAGAAATGAGTTATGCTTCATAAAACTGGCTTGAGCTGGCGGATGCTTTGAAACGTGAAGCCTGAAGGACTCTTCAGTGCATGGGAGATGCGGTTAAGAATTTTGTCCGTCATTTCCTTACTGTGCACTTTTTTGTGCCCTTTCCTCAACTGACAGTTGAGGCGTCAACTAAATAGAGCTTCAGCAAAAACATCATTATTCCGAAATTCTTGTAGACCAGTCAATATAGTGAAATAGCAGACCTGAAATAGCCCATTATTTGAACGCCCACCTTTATGCAAGTGCCGATCAATATTTTTGGCAGAGTATAAACATTTCCATCATACCGTCGCTTCACTCTAGAGCAAGAATATCAAGGATTGCACTTGAAACGATCAACTGGTAATTCAGCGCTTATTCAGTTTACTTTTCACGCTCCAGCTAGGGGACTTTATCAACTGATACAAAACGATAAATGTTCAAAATTAGCCCATGCAATGTAAACTAATAGTTAATAAAATCTAATTCTCATTCGAACAAATTACATCAACAAATAAAATTGAAAGCACTCTAATTATTTTACCACCATTCTTAAACAAAGAATTACGGCTAGCTATTGAATTATTTCCAAATCGAACAGACATGAAGCAATATTGCTGGATGCCATTGGATTCTTTCAAGATGAAACAAACAAGATTTTCATGATTGCAAAATACAACGCCAAAATGGCGTTATATGCAATAGGCCACAATGCTAGGAGGAGAATTGGAATTTGTTGGTCAATAGTATGACCAAAACATTGTAATCACCGAAATTGTTACGGAACTGAGACACTATAGCGAGCGTGTGCTAAACTTCGGCGACGGTATAGTAAATAAAAAAAATTCAACTGAAGTAAAGCCAAAATTGAAACATGCATGACGTTCATATTCTCACAAAAATATAGACGTAAAGATCTAATAAATGCTTTGAGGGTTTGGTCTGGCAGCACTATTAGTGCTGCCAGACCAAATTTTAAAGAAAAATTTGTTCACAAAATTAAAGTTATTCACTAGTCATACACTCAACAGTATACAAACATATGTTACCAAACTCTATTTTTTATTGCAACTTAAAGGAACTCGATAAAACTAGCTTTACATAAGGCGTTCGTAATCTACATCTGCATAACAATCATTCAAATTAAAGTAGTTCATTTGTTAAATTTTATCGAGATTAAACTTCAACGAATTTCAATAGAATTTTGTCTGTGTACAAGACGCGGCGCTGAAATTAGAGTTCCTAAAAAGCTTCGTTCTCAGTTGAACCACTCCACACGAAGTCACCTCTTAGTTGAACCCCTCCACATCAGTTGAACCACTCCACACGAAGTCACCTCTTAGTTGAACCCCTCCACCTCAGTTGAACTCCTCCTCCACAGGAAGAGTTTAGCGTTTCTAAAAGACTTCGTACTCAGTTGAACCCTCAACCTCAGTTGAATTCCTACACCTCAGTTGAACCCCTCCACATCAGTTGAACCCTCCACCTCAGTTGAACCCCTCCACCTCAGTTGAACCCCTCCACCTCAGTTGAACCCCTCCACCTCAGTTGAACCCCTCCACCTCAGTTGAACCCCTACACCTCAGTTGAACCCCTACACCTCAGTTGAACCCCTCCACCTCAGTTGAACCCCTACACTTCAGTTGAACTCCTCCACCTCAGTTTAACCCCTCCACACGAAGAGTTTAGAGTTCCTAAAAGACTTCGTACTCAGTTGAACCCTCCACCTCAGTTGAATTTCTACACCTCAGTTGAACCCCTCCACCTCAGTTGAACCCCTCCACCTCAGTTGAACCCCTCCACCTCAGTTGAACCCCTCCACCTCAAGTGAACCCCTCCACTCGAAGTCACCTCGGTGAAGTGGCAAAAAACTGAAGGCCGTCAAACAACTAAGCGAGCAGGAAATACACGCAGGCTTAAAGTTGATGTTAAGCCGGGCGCCAAAGAGATTAAATAAAGCATATTTTGAGACGGTATTACGATCTTGGGCAACTTAGAAGCTTTAGCGATATCATATAATAAACAATTCAGGAAAATACCAGATAATAGTAATATTTTTTGGGTTCTAAACAGATTTAAAAACGATAATGTGTCTTAACAATCAATTTAAAATAATTGCACCTATTATTAAATATATCATTAGTTGTTTATTGGTCATAGTACATTTGATTCCGAAACAATAAGGGTATCAAATTTATTAATTACAGAGTGAAAAAGAATTGGTCTATGAGAGTATTGAAAGAATGAACCGTGATTAATATTTTAATGGAAGAAGAAATGCTGTGTGGCAGATTAGGATACATAAATGCTTGATAGCTTTCGGAAAAAAAATTCCGCAAACGTTGATCCTTCCGTCCCCACTCCCCGGTTTTATATCCTTGAAGCTGGAAAGCTTTGCGTACTAATCAGACTTTCAGTGGGCAAAACAGCTAGTAGAATTGAGACAAGAAATCATTAGTGTTTTACGAGTGAATAATTGTTGTTAAAATTCCGCAACATACCATAAGTTATTATCTAATAATTAATTAATAAATCCATAGGTTACAGTTCAATAAATGAGAGGATGTAAATAGTTGCACAGATTTACCCCTACACTCTTTCACGATTTAAGCGAAAGAGTGTTAACTGTTAATTGCGTTCAAAGACCGATTGGTACAACTGCATTATATTATTCTTACCGGAATCGTAAATACTGGCAGCGGTGCAGGATTAGAGTGGCGATTATAACGAAGCAGTAGCGCGAATATGGAGGGTGCGAGAACTGTTGTGTATGTGAGGCCGTCCCCTTAAAGACTAAAAAATTCGACGAGAAAACCTGTTTCTGTGCCTCCGGACACTCAGGGGGCTCGACTCATAGACCGAGTTTTTAAAAAATAAGGATTCGTCATGACTGAGTTCCCCTCAACATTGCCACTCATGGTGTTCAAAATAAGTAAGGACATTAACCTGAAATGCGCTTCCGGGAAGGAGATCCAAAAC